CAGGCCTCCTAGCTGGGCCACTCCTTCCCTGCTGTACAGGTGGTCCTTGCTCTAGGGGCCAGTGAGGGTCTGAGTTTTCATCCTTCCCAGCTCCACTGCCTGTAGGTGAGCCCCTCTCTCCATCTGGGCCCCTTCCAAGGCTCCTGCCTTCAGCTTCACATCTTCCTCTCAATTCCTTTAGGTCCTCCACCCAAGTTCCTTTGGGTCTTCCATCTAAATTCTCCTACAGCTGAGCAAGCTCAATCACTTTTAAGGTTTGTTCTGGCCCTTTGCCAAGCCTCCTGTTGGGGATTGGCCAGGCTCCCTCAAAAGTGCAGATCATCCATTCCTCTGATCCACCCACTGATTCTAGACCTTTCTCCCACAGTTTTAGGGCAGGGGGAAATTCCGGGAGGCAGGTCTGCAGAGCCTCTCAGCTCTGACCAAAGTTTGACCCCTGCTAGCTATCACACCCAGGCTGCTACTCAGCCTTCCTAGCTAACAAGCAGGCTCTTAGCTCCCCCCTAGTTGCCTAGGAGGGTGCTACACATACAACATCTGCACGCCTAAAAGTGTGTTATTGTGTTATGAATCAGCAAATGGAAGTAGTTTTTTATTTCATTTTATTCTATCATCATTTTTAATTTTCTATACTAGTTGTCTGGCTTTAAAGAGATGCTTAATATACTGAATTCTAATTATTACGTCCATATTGTATGAATTTGAGGTTGCTTCAGTATCCAACCTTTGCATTGTTAAGAGATTGCCTCTAGCCTTTTCGTTTTTGGGCCGTGTTACCTTTAAGGCACGTGGAGGAGGCGGCTTCTGGGTCTCTATATAACAGAGGTCTCCAAGCAAATAACCAGTTTACTGTCCTTCAGACTTTAGGGGGGCTGGACTGTTGCCCTGGCATCAGTGCCCCATCATCAGCTTTAATAGGAGGAATAGTGCCCCATTGTTAATGTCAGTGATAATAATTGTGCTCCATTGTTGATATCAATGAGAAGTATAATGCCCCATTGATGGTGTCAGTAGAGGGAATGGTGCTCCCTCACTGGTGACAGTTGGTGGAATAGTGCCCCAAGAGCCAAATAAAGGCAAGCAAAGGGCCACATCTGGCCCCCGGGCCGCAGTTTGAAGACTACTGATATATAACATCTAGCTCTGCCTAGGGTGGGTTGGACTTGAGAAAGAAGTACACATCTCCGAAATATGTTGTCCTTGCAGCCACGCTTTGTGTGTGTCTTTTCCTCCTGCTAGAGGTTTTCACCCCATTTGTGAGTGACACCTGCTTTGCTGGGAGCCTGCGCACTGGGCCCTGCATGCCAGGCTGTCTCAGCGATGTTTCAGGTTCATACAACTTTTAGTTTGACAACATACCATGTTTTCCTCCATGGGCTGCGGGACCATGGACCAGGAGAGGTGACTAAATTATCCTGATGTGCCTGTATTTTGATCACTGTATGTGAGTGCATTGAATCTTTTTTATATTTCTTCAATAAATGGTTTTACACTAGGGCGATCCTGTGCTCTCTCCTTTTTGTTTCTTTAGTGCTGATCTAGATGTGTTCCTGCCCCCCGGGGATCCATTTTAGAGCTGTGGTGACCAAGTGTTATTAACCTTTGAGGCACCAATGTACTTTTAATACAAGCAGAAATTGTGCATGGGGATGAGCACATGGTGTATATTTTCTTTTAGTTTGCTGTTCACCTTCTGATCCTTGCACCTCAAGCTCTAATAAAGTTTTTAAAATATAGCTAAGGGCTAGACCTGCAAAGTAAGTGAACTGTCTGGAATCAGGACGTTCTCAGAAGGGGTCCAATTTGCAAAGGCCCTTCTGAGTGGAGACACTGTACTGGAGAGAAATTATGAAAATCCCGAATGTCCCACCTACTGTATGCAGAGGCTCAGATCTTATTGTTGCCAGGTGATATATATATATATATATATATATATATATATATATATACAGTTGCAAGAAAAAGTATGTGAACCCCTTGGGATTACGTGGAGTTTTTACATGAATTGGGCATAAAATGTGCTCTGAACGTCATCTAAGTCACAACAATAGAAGAACACAGTCTGCTGAACATAATACTACACAAACATTAGATGTTGCCATGGTTTAATTGCACATAACATTTAAACATTCACAGTGCAGGGAGGAAAAGGTATGTAAGGCCCTAGCTTAATGACTTCTCCCAAAACTAATTGGAGCCAGGAGTGAGCCAACCTTGACTCCAATCAGTGTGATGATATTGGATGTGTTGCTGACAGCTGTCCTGCCCTTAAAAAACACACACACCTGTTTTGGGTTATTGGTTTCAAGAAGCACTGTCTGATGTGAACCATGCCTCACAGAAAAGAGCTCTCAGAAGACCTACAATCAAGAATTGTTGACTTGCATGAAGCTGGAAAGGGTTACAAAAGTATCTCCAAAAGCCTCGATGTTCATGTGTCCACGGTAAGACAGACTGTCTACAAATGGAGAAAGTTTAGCACTGTTGCTACTCTCCCTAGGCGTGGTCGTCCTGTAAAAATGACTGCAAGAGCACAGCGCAGAATGCTGCATGAGGTAAAGAAGAATCCCAGAGTGTCAGCTAAAGACCTACAGAAATCTCTGGCACATGCTAACATTTTTGTTGACACATCTACAATAAGGAAAACATTAAACAAGAATGGAGTACATGGGAGGACACCACGGAGGAAGCCATTGCTGTCCAAAAAGAATATTGCAGCACGTTTGAAGTTTGCAAAAGAGCACCTGGATGTTCCACAGCACTAGTGGCAAAATATACTGTGGACAGATGAAACCAAGATTGAGTTGTTTGGGAAGAACACACAACACTATGTGTGGAGAAAAAAAAGCACAGCACACCAACATCAAAACCTCATCCCCACTGTAAAACATGGCGGAGGGAGCATCATGGTTTGGGGCTGCTTTGCTGCCTCAGGGCCTGGACGGATTGTTGTCATTGATAGGAAAATGAATTCCAGAGTTTATCAAGACATTTTGCAGGAAAACGTATGACCATCTGTCCGCCAACTGAAGCTCCACAGAGGATGGGTGATGCAACAGGACAATGAACCAAAGCATACAAGTAATTCAACAAAACAATGGCTGCAACAGCACAGAATACGCCTTCTGGAGTGGCCCAGTCAGAGTCCCGACCTCAACCCGATTGAAATGCTGTGGCATGACCTTAAGAGAGCGATTCACACCAGACATCCCAAGAATATTGCTACATTGAAACAGTTTTGTGAAGAGGAGTGGTCCAAAATTACTCCAGATCGTTGTGCAGGTCTGATCTGCAACTACAGGAAACGTTTGGTTGAGGTTATTGCTGCCAAAGGAGGGTCAACCAGTTATTAAGTCCAAAGGTTCACATACTTTTTCCTCTCTGCACTGTGAATGTTTACATGTTATGTGCAATTAACCACTTGAGCTCCAGAGGATTTACCCCCCTTAATGACCAGGCCTCTTTTTGCTACTCGGCGCTGCACTAATTCAACTGATAATTGCGCGGTCATGCAATGCTGCACCCAAACAAAATTTACGTCCTTTTTTTCACACAAATAGAGCTTTCTTTTGGTGGTATTTGATCACCTGTGCGCTTTTTATTTTTCACGCTATAAACAAAAAAAGGCCAAAAATTTTGAAGAAAAACAATATTTTTTTACTTTCAGCTATAAAAAATATACAGTAAACTCAAAGTTAGTTATAAATTTAGGCCAAAATGTATTCTGCTCCATGTTTTTGGTAAAAAAAATCCCAATAAGTGTATATTGATTGCTTTGTGTGACAGTTATAGCGTCTACAAACTATGGTATAAATACTGCAATTTACGCCATTTTTCTGCTATACAGCGCTGCGCTAGTTTAACGGACAATTGCGCAGTCATGCAATACGGTACATAAATGAAATTTACATCCTTTTTTTCCCCACAAATTCAGATTTCTTTCGGTGGTATTTGATCGCCTGTGCGGTTTTTATTTTTTGCGCTATAAAAAAAAAAGGCTGACAATTTTGAGGAAAAAAAAACAATATTTTGGACTTTTTGCTATAAAACATGTCCAGTAAAAAAAAAATGCAAAAATCAAATTTAGTCATAAATTTCTGCCAAAATGCATTCTGCGACATGTCTTTGCTAAAAAAAAAACCCAATACGTGTAAATTAATTGGTTTACGTGAAAGTTATAGCGTTTACAAATGGCGGGAAAGATACTGGATTTTTAATTTTTATTTATACTAATAATGCCGCCGATCAGCGACATATGGCGGCAATCAGCGACATATGACGGCGACCAGCGACTTATGGCGGGACTGCGGGACTGAGGCGGACATTTTGACACTGGGGGGGAGCTGACTTGGGGTCACTGACATCCCCAGTGACACCAATACAGTGATCAGTGAAAAAAACCACTGAAACTGTATTAATGTCACTGGGGAGGAAGGGGTTAACATTTTTAGTGTTCACTGTGTGAGGGGAGTGTTTTACTAAGGGGGCGGGGGTGTGTGCTGGACGGGGGAGGGAGGGGGGAGCTGATCGAGGGAGAGAAACTGTATTCTCCCTCTGCAGCTTGGCGGCGAACTGTCACAGAGCAGGCTGTGTGTAAACAATGCAGCCCTGCTCTGTTTCAGTGTTTACCGCTCATCGCGGGAAAACGGCCGGTAAAAACCGGCCGTGACCCGGCGGCGGGGATCCGCTGCTGACACCCGTGGGACAGGTAGGGCGGGCGCGTGCCTCGCGCGCGCCCCCTGCCTGTTTTTGTAGGCACACGTTTTAAAACGTGCTTTTGCCTACGAGCGCCGCCCTGCCACCGTTTATATGCGGTGGCTGGGCGGCATGTGGTTAAACCATGGCAACATCTAATGTTTGTGTAGTATTATGTTCAGCAGACTGTGTTCTTCTATTGTTGTGACTTAGATGACGTTCAGAACACATTTTATGCCCAATTCTTGCAAAACTCCACGTAATCCCAAGGGGTTCACATACTTTTCTTGCAACTGTATATATATACCTATACACACACTATATTGCCAAAAGTATTGGGACACTTGCCTTTACATGCATATGAATTTTAATGGATTCCCAGTCTTAGTCCGTAAGGTTCAATATTGAGATAGTCCACCCTTTGCAGCTATAACAGCTTTAACTCTTCTGGGAAGGCTGTCCACAAGGTTTAGTAGTGTGTCTATAGGAATGTTTGACCATTCTTCCAGAAGCGCATTTGTGAGGTCAGGCACTGATGTTAGATGAGAAGGCCTGGCTTGCATTCTCCGCTCTAATTCATCCCAAAGGTGTTCTATCGGGTTGAGGTTAGGACTCTGTGCAGGCCAGTTAAGTTCCTCCACCCCCAAATTGGCTCATCCATGTCTTTATGGACCTTGCTTTTTGCACTGGTGCTCAGTCATGTTGAAACAGGAAAGACCCATCCCCAAACTGTTCCCACAAAGTTGGGAGCATGAAATTGCCCAAAATGTCTTGGTATGCTGATGCCTTCAGACTTCGCTTCACTGAAACTAGGAGCCAAGCCCAACCCCTGAAAAAGAACCCCACACCATAATCCTTCCTCCAAACTTTACACTTAGCACAATTGTTTTGGTGGTTATCCCACCTCACTTATTCACTTGATGATAAATATAATAAGTGATTACAAACTTTTGTCTATACATGAATTTAGCCAATCCACATGTGGCTATTACCAATAATGTTAATACCAAATTATAACAACTGTGCAAAAAATAAAGATCTAATTTATTTACACAGAAAAGAAGCGGACTACTAATCAATTATAACTAAATAAAAAATAGCCAGTATAACTTTAAAAGTAATGATATTACAATGTAAACACAGAATGTTACCAATACATAGAGATAACTACAGGAAAGAAAGTTACAGGAAAGAAACATAGAATAATGATGGTACATTACGCAGACATCCTGATGACTGGGCTTCAAGAGAGAGAGTTTTGCTTTGGTGTTATATACTCTTTGCAAAAGACCACTCCTAGACTCAACCACCCAGGTAAAGTCACACCCTTACACATATCTTAACCTCTAATGGGTGGGCTCAAGACACTAGTCAGTTTAGGTCACCAGCTGTTAAAAAAACACAGGAAGTCCTAGCTGCCTTCTTTCCCCCTCACCTCAATCGAGTCCTTTGAAGTGGCATCCCCCACATTTATTTGTCACATACCCCTTTTATTACCATTGTCCATTTCCTGGAATTTCTTTAGAACTTACAGTAGATACCTATCAAAAGTTCACCATAATGTTCACGAAGGTAAAAATTATTATAGGCCCAAAATAGCTATTACACAATGCAGTCAGACAAGTACCATTCTCTTGGCAAGCGCCAAACCCACAGATGTCCATCGAATTTCCAGACATAGAAGCATGTTTGGTGATTTCAGAGAACATGTCTCCTCTGCTCTAGAGTCCAGTGGCGGCATAGATTACAACATGGCATCCAACGCTTTGCATTGCACTTCGTGATGTAAGGCTTGGATGCAGCTGCTCAACCATGGAAACCCATTCCATAAAGCTCTCTATGTACTGTTGTTGTGCTAATTTGAAGGCCACATAAAGTTTGGAGGTCTTTAATTATTGACTGTGTAGGCCAGTTTAGTTCCTCCACCCCAAACTTGCTCATCCATGTCTTTATGGACCTTGCTTTGTGCACTGGTGCGCAGTCATGTTGGAACAGAAAGGGGCTATCCCCAAACTGTTCCCACAAATGTCTTGGTATGCTGACGCCTTAAGAGTTCCCTTCACTGGAACTAAGGGGCCAAGCCCAACCCCTGAAAAACAACCATAATCCCCGTCCACCAAACTATACACTTGGCACAATGCAGTCAGGAAAGTAATGTTCTCCTGGCAACCACCAAACCCAGACATGTCCATCGGATTGCCAGACAGAGAAGCATGATTCGTCACTCCAGAAAACATGTCTCTACCGCTCTAGAGTCCAGTGGTGGCATGCTTTATACCACTGCATCTGACGCTTACACTTAGTAACATCAATGTTACTTGGACTAACCGTCCTGGCGAAAAGATGGCCGCCGGAGCTCCACGTTGCTCCGGCGGTGTGTGTGACGTCACGGCGTTATTGACTCCTCCTGGAGGAGCAACGTGGAGCTCCGGTGGCCATCTTTTCACCAGGACGGTTAGTCCAAGTAACATTGATGTTTACATTTTCACCTGGATGCCTGCTACCTTCTGGATGGTTTTTTATTTAATAAACTACCTTACTATACTACACTATGGAGTTCTTTCTGCTTTAAACTCCCCTGGGGAGGATTACTTTGCAGATTCCCAGGACCCGCAGTGGGATTCTTATACACCTGGTAAGCTGACCTGCCCATCCCTCAAAGGGACCTCTGATATCCTTCCATTACACACCAGATGCTTCAGGACCCAGGCACATACAGTGAGGGATTCCACTTCATTCCTGCCCAGACCTGGATGACCTTCGATGAGATCAGGATATTTTCATACAAATGCACATTTCATTATGCACTCAGGTGAGTGCGCATTCTTCTCATTTTTGACTGCACAAGCACCAAGTTCCAGTTGAACACAGGATTCACGTTTTATGACACCAGTCACCATATGAACTATTTTATACAGTGATTCTATTTTACTGTCCTCTTTTTTTATATATACTTATTTATAGCGCTGCCCTTTATTATATTTTGTCTGTTTGAGGTTTATTGATTACCTGAGTGCGTAGCAGCTTTTAGTGCGCTTGCAATTATATATTATTAGTTGGCAACCTTTGTGCACTATGCGCTGACCCCACTGTCATTTTACATGGCCTACCACTTCGTGGCTGAGTTGCTGTTGTTCCCAGTTGTTCCCAGTTGCTTCCACTTTGTTATAATACCACTAATAGTTGATCGTGGAATATATAGTAGCAAGGAAATTTCATGGACTTGTGGTCAGGTGCATTGCTTTGGCCAACCTCAATGCACTGTAAGAGCTCAGTGCATTGTGGGGTGCAGTGAACGAACAGGCCACCGAACACACAAACAGCCGATGTTTGAGTCGAACTTACGTTCAACTCGAACATCAAGGCCATTATTTTTATCAACATTAAAACTCATTTGCCACATACTGTAGTTGTCCAATAAAAATAGTGCATTGAGGTCAGCTTGTATACTGGAAAATCTTGTAAGGAGGTTATTTCACTACACAGCTTGGTGTCATCTACAAACTCGGAAATTAAACTTTTAATCCCAAACTCTATATCATTTATAAATAGTTTAAAAAGTAAGGGTCCCAACACTGAACCTTGGGGTACAGCGCTAATAACCTTAGAGTATGAATTGTTAAAACCTATTTTCTGAATACGGTCTATACCAGTTGAAAACAATTTTGCAAAATCCAAAGTACTTTATCCACAATCACTCCTTTTATATAAGTTTTTTCTTACTTCCTCATAAAAAGAAAACACATTTGTATGACAATTTCAGTCTTTCGTGAATCCATGCTGTCTATTGCTTAAAATATTGTTTGCTAGCAAAAACTCTTTTTTTTTGTGTTTTCTTTTTTTTAACTAAGTTCTCAAGTATCTTTCTGACTATGGAAGTTAAACTAACTGGTCTGTAGTTATTTGATAAAGGCTATGATCCCTTTTTAAATATAGTTATAACATTGGCTTTCTGCCAATCCAGTGGTACCATGCCAGTCATTAAAGAGTCCCTAAAAATGAGAAACTCTTTGAGGACACATGGGTGTAAGCCATTTGGTCTAGGTGCTTTATTGACCTTTTTTTTTGTCCATATGTTTCTGGACCATATCAATTTTGAGCCATTGTGAATCATTTGGGGCTATCTCAATACTATCCCTCTTCTATACTTGAGCTCCTCCGTTTTCCTTTGTATACACCACGGGTGTCAAACTGGCGGTCCTCCAGCTGTTGCCAAACTACAAGTCCCATGAGGCATTGCAAGATTGACAGTTACAAGCATGACTCCCAAAGGCCTTAGAGGCATGATGGGACTTTTTTTGCAACAGCTGGAGGGCCGTCACCCCTGGTATACACAGATCTGTAGAAGATATTTAACAAATTTTTCTGCTCTTTGTCCTCTGACATCAACTCTCAATTATCTTGTAAAAGGCCTATATGTCATTGACCTTTTTACTATTAATATATTTGAACAATTTTTGGAGGTTTGTCCTACTTTCTTTTGCAACCCGACATTTGTTTTGAAGTTTGGCAGTCTTAATTTTCTTTTTGCATATATTGTTATTTATATATTATTCTTTCCAAATTGTTAGATAGGGACCAAGTGGGCTAAAAATGTGTAAACGTGTAAAAGAACAAACCAATTTATGAATATACACAAAATGGCATCTTTACCACCACTGTGTTCCTGAATAGTGTCATCTGCTGCAGCATGATTGTTCGATGATGATACCATCTTCCTCACGACATTCTGGTACGGAAAAGAGATACATTGTAGATCACAAGTACACACCCCTTCTTACAAAGCATAATTACTAAACCCAACCCAAAGTAATTTTTTTTAACCAACTTTTCCTTTGTACTGTCTTTTCAAAATATCAAATGCAATAATTTCACTGCAAATGTGAACTATACTTAAGTGCACTGCAACACAAAAGAGTGATTCAGCCCTTAAAATATATCAAAATCACAAACAAAAATGTAATATATAGCAGCATACCAGTCTTTAAATGTAGTGGCTGCATTAGTTTTTTTTTTTTTTGTTTGTTTGTTTTTGTTTTTTATACTAAAAACATATCTTCAGTAAAATAACCTGTTGATTCTACCAGAAACCCAGTGTCCTTCCTGTAACTTTCTGTGCACTGAACTTAAATCTCAAACCTCATTTTCAGCTTTTGCTGTTACCTTCTGTGAACATTTCACCCCCTTTCCCTTCTATATAATGGTTGAGGAGCAGGTGAAGTGTTTGTAGTCCAAATTAGGACAGCAGTCTAGCATAGCAACACAGCTCCTTTATAGATATAGTACTAGTAGTGAGCATTGTTACCCTAGGACAGGAAGTGTGTTAACCTCCTTGGCGGTATTCCCGAGTGTAG